GGATTCCAGCTGTTCGGAGCACGTGGTGTCGCCGGAGTTCACGACGAGCGAGGTTCAGAGCGAGCCAAAATGGAAGGAATTGGACAATACCCTAAATTTTCGATATAATTACATCGATACCTCACTGGACCACGAGTTTGCCGCACAGTTTCAGGGCGGTAATCAGATGTCGCCGCTGCAGGATATGTTCATGTACCTGCAGAAGCCCTTTTGATTGACCCGCGTCTGATTCTGATCAAAATTAAATCTTCAATTTACTGACAGTCGTTGATGGTAACTCAATCGGACGGTCGCACGAGACTGAAAGTCTATGAGTGCGCCACGTATATAGAGAGAGAAAAAAGATTAAAAAAAACAACATACTGGGAGAGACAGACTGTAGTTTGTTATTGTAGTGGGCCCGGGCTGTGGGGTCCACTTGTTGATTTAGATCAGACGGGCGATGTTTAATCAGGCATTACTTGTAGTATAGCCTATGATTACTATTGGAACATTCAATGTGGAGAGCCTTCAAAGCTCCTGTATTTTGTAGCTAATTATAGTTCTGTTTATATTTTGAAATTTCCTTCATTGTAAGTGTTTCTTTCCCTCCCCAATTTACATATTCTTATTCGTTTATATTAATTTATTTCATTTGGACTTAAAATATAGATCAATACTAAAAGTTTTCCAGACATTTTTCTTGATAAAAAATTTTCCAATCAAATCAATCTTAATAACATTATTAAATTTAATAACAAAAGGCTAATTCGTTACTTAAGATTATAGTTAGAATGTAAAATTTGTAACTTGTAAAAAGACAAATTTAAAAAAAACATAAATTTACATTATATATTTAATATTTTCTTATGTTAGAAGTATTTTATACGTGCGGACATAAATTTACACATTTTCAAAGTAATTGTCATAAACTATCATTCAATCTCTATAAAACCCAATGACTAAAATATCCGTCGATACTAAAATATCCGTCGATACTAAAAGATCAATCGATATCTCGTATGAAAATAAATGCAATAAATTTTTTAAATTCATAATTATCTGAAATGTATTTTTTAAATTTTTTAAATTTACAAGAATATCGTAAAATTGAAATCTAGATGTCAACACCCAGACACACACACACACACAGATATATATATATATATATATATATATATATATATATTAATGCTGGATCAAACCTATCCGCGTGTAACACATTTACAACAAAAAAAAAAAACATGCAAGGAATCAAATGTCTTAATCAATGCAATATTGATAATAATCCTGCCAAATTTCAAAATTCAAATCTCCCAGCCTCAATAGCATAGTTGTAAAATATATATAGAGAGAGAGGCCGATGATAGTGCTGGAGGAATTTTTTGTTAAATATAAATAAAAAAATTCAAACCTAAACTTCTATAGGCTAAATACTCGAGTATAAAGCTTAAGAAATGATTAATAGCTAAAAAAATCCATGTTTATCTATAAGCATACTATTATTTTGTCACGTGCTTTTATTTCTTATTTTTAATGGAAGTAATATCCAAAGGGGAGTAAAATATCAAACGCCTGTTAGAATCGCCAACCCACAAGAAGAAAGAGGGAAGAAAAAATATATTCTAAAGCTAACAAAAATACACAATAAACAATTTCTGCACGCATGAGAACAAAAAATGGGTGGTTGTAGAGATCTACTGTTATAGATAAGCATGTGCCGAAATATTGGAAGTGAACCATTCCACCAAGAACAAAAAAATACTTTAAATGTTATCTGACCCTTCTTTGTGGACTTTCTCAAAGTTTAAAAGTTTTTACATTCACAGAACATCAATGTCAGCATATACTTTTTTCCACCAAAAGCTGGAAGTCAAATGAAGAACATGTTCGTACCTAATCAATGCACACGGGCAACAGATGGTTGGTGAGCAAAACGTGATACTCTGGACCTAAATTTCCTACTCTGCGCCGCCAACGAGTGCAGATCTAGCTCGAGTAAAAGATGAGATGAGTGATCCGAGTTGCAATTTGTCATTGCATCCAAAACTCATCCTGTACCTACAAATGGCACCCAATCAAACTGGTTAATTCAGACACTTCAAAAAACTCAATTTATATTCTCCAATCATGGATTTTTTTTTTTTAATCCAAGTGGCCGACTAGCTTGCGGGCACCTCAATTTATTTCACGAGACAACCCCTGACTTGATACATTTGATTGTTAAGAAAGCTGGTAAGATATTAAATCTAAAGTAGGTGGCTACCGTAGTCTAAGCTCATCACCTCAATTTATTTCACAAGACAACTCTTGGCCTTGATACATTTGATTGCTAAAAAAACTAGTAAGATATTAAATCTGATGTAAGTGGCTACCATAGTCTAGGCTCATTCTCTCTAAGTCATATACTTTCTTTCACCGGCTCCAAGGACTATTAGGTTAACCCACGATGTTTGAATTACATACAATACTTGGTGAAAAGAATGTCATGGCAATTCATTATCATCTTTAGGTCTTTGAAAACCTCTAAACCTATTCAAATCCATCAGTGGAGCAGATTCATTGTACAGTTGGGCGAGGTTACAACTTACAAGCAATCCTAGTATATGCTAATAAGCCAAATCTCTTTCAACGAATTGGTTGGTCGTGATTATGTTCAACGCTTTGTTAGAAAGAATTCTATGTTTTAAGTCCAGCAGTTGATCAGGCTTTTTCCAAGTTGAAAAGATAAGATCAGAAGATAACGTCAAATCATGAAACAATTTCCCTCATCTTTATCCATAAAGGAAACTGCAAGCATAATTCTATGGTAGTGCACATAAAGGTAATACAGCTGGAGAAATACATCCTTCTATTCATTGAACTAAAAGATACAACAGAACTTTTGGCTTACAAAAGTAGAATTAGATGAGTAAGAATGTTTTAGAAGTTAGATTAGGAAACTTAGATTCCCTTGTCCTTTTCCGCTTAGTATGTCCTAATACTTCTGTCAACTTAGGAAGCTGCTGCCTACCCACAAAAAGAAACCCCAATTGTTTTTTGTTTTTACCTTTCAATATATTTATGGTAGAATATATGCTGAACAAGACAAATAAGATGGAATCATGGAATGGTGGACATCAACATCAAAGAGTTGAGTATTTTTCTATGTTTGTTCAAGTTGATAACGGTGCCATTATTTTGTGCATTATACATATTTCTACAGATAATAAACTTCACAAGAAATTATATAAAGTGAAGAGATTGATGCATACTCTATATCAGCCAGATCATTAATCAACTGAACTCTTACATCCGATGGCATCTTGATCCTAAAAACAAACCTGCATGAATTGAACGGTTGGGAAAGTCGAGCAAATATCATCACTCAGAAATCATACAGAATGAGATGAAGCACTCACATAGTGACTTCTCTAACTATATCAACCAAAGCCAATCCTTTTCTGGTCTTCATTTCAGATATTCCTGAAAAAAGGATCAATAAGAATAAATAAAACTGACGAAATACAACAAAATAATTGGAAAGTTTTAGAGAATTATATACGCTTAAAACTGTCAGCAAATGGTTCATTCAGCAGCCAAAATGATATTTGCTCAATGTCTTTGGGCATTGGGTTTCCTGTGCATAGGTATACAGCTTCTTCAGTAATTTGCTGAGAAGCCATATGCGTTGACTACATAAAAATGGAAAATATGAAGAAAGTTGTCAGTATTACAAAGTAACAGCTACATAACACATGTAAATGTCATCTATCAATCTACATAGTCCAATGCGTTATAAAAAAAATGTTTACATGCACCGCAACCAGTGCTGAGTGCATGTTGATTTAAGGGTGCATTAAGATCAAAATATGAAGATTTAAGAGTGCATTATGACCTCTCTTATTCACATTTTGATTATTTTTCATAGAACTAACAGAACAAAGGAATTGAACCAGGGTTTGTAGATCATTATCCCTCCAGTCATTTGAATTATTTTCCTTTTCTTTGTTGCCTTTGAAATCAAACCTCAATACTATGAAACATTTTTGTCAACATGTTCTACTTCCCTTTTTTTATAACCGGGAGTCGGAGGTTTGCTCCACTATACCCGAGGCACCCCCGCCCACCAATTCTATGAACTTCTACACATGGAAATCTTAAGAATGCTATAGAAAGTTTAAGCTCTTGAAACTTCTTCCAAATGTTCAAGTAATGATGAACGTGTATCTCTACAGTCTAGAACTGTTACTAGTTAACAAGGTGAGGGTGAAAATGGAGAGGGGAAAAACCACTTTAACGGTGATTATGAACAGGAAATCACACTCTTAATCTTTAATACAGGGGAAATTTGACCTGCATCTCATATCACTGACATGGTATGTTTAGAGTCCTATTTTTTAGTACAACATGTGGGGGTGGGGGATCGAACTCACAATCTCATGGTTAGAGATATATGTCAATTACCATTGAGCTATGTTTAGAGTCCTATTTATACTTCCATATATGTTAATTCTAATAAATTAAGTCGTCATTTTATTCTGACCTAATAGCTACTGCAATGCCACCAATGCCAGAAAATAGTAAGAACTCTGACCTGAAGAATGTTTAGAGCCTTTCTCATATCACCATTGCAAAGTCGAACAAGAGCTGCTAAGCCACTCTCAGTGACGTCCAACCTGATTGCCATTCAGGTATAGAGCATTAGACAGAAGTTCAAGTGTCATGGCACAACATTGATTCTTAAAATTATTATAGAGAGAGAGAGAGGAACAATCCAGTAGAAAACCTTCAAACAATATAGAGATCCAACTGACGTCACCTCCAAAAAGAACCTGGGTTCAATGAATTACATGTTTCTTTTCTAGGACAAAAAGTAGAACAGAACGTCCCATAGAAACTTCAAGTGTAATAGGCATTACATTTCCATTGAATAATAAGAAAAAGTTCAATGAACTCTACTTCAAATTTCCCTAGTTAACTGGGTATTTGAAGAGATCACGAGAGACAGAAATTGTGCATTCTAGCCCCACTATTTACAAAGCTAGAATGATAGATTGAATTTTATATCGGAATCTGAAATTAAGGCAATTACCATTACTCATCAATATCACATAGAAGCCAAATCAATGAAGGTGTTGTATGTTTGCTAGTCATACGCAAATGTAAGCAACAAAGAGATTTATGTATGTAGTGCAAGTGAAACAAAGGAGACTTCGTACCTCTCAGCTTCAATAACATATCTGAGTCGTTCAGTGACATTAAAATTATCAAGGGGAGCAAATCGAAAACGGGTACACCTCGATTGTAATGCTGGAATAATCTTATTGACGTGATTACAGATAAGGGCAAACCTTGTATTTTTCGTATATTTCTCAATCACTGCATGAAGAAAAATTTAGCAATAATAGGCATATGGTACAGTAGCTCGATGAAAGATGGAGAGAAAGATGAGAGCAACAGCATATAAAAGAGACCTCTACGTAAAGCAAACTGTGCATCTTTAGTCATGGCATCTGCCTCGTCCAACAGTACCAATTTTACAGATGCTTTTGCCCTGCAAATTTAAATGTTTTAAAGTACATAAAAAATGGATTGTATCAAGATGTGCATCTATAAGCAATCGACCGAGACCAACAAATTGTCAGTAAGACACTTAAAACGAATGGTTTACCCTGATCTATATACACATTACACTGATGGACCATCATATGGATCAAAATGAAATAGTTTTGAAGTTTGCTCACTGCTTACAGAGTGATTGATGGCTACATGTAATATACTACATATGAACCTCTGAAACATACTCCCAAAGTCATAGAGAGTATCTTGTAAAATTTAGACTGATTGGCCAGGAAAGCAAGTGGGAAACTGAGTGAAAGAGAGTTAAACATACCCAAATGAAAAGCTTTGGGTACTTGCAAAATCTTGGATCTGCTGTCTCACAACATCTATCCCTCTATCATCTGAGGCGTTTAGCTCCAATATCATGTTATGGAAATTCGTTCCATAAAGCTTGCGCGCAACCGCTAGAATAGTTGATGTCTTGCCAGTTCCAGGAGGGCCGTACAACAGGAGATGTGGCAGCCTATTCTCACTGGTCAGCTTGTCAACTATTTAACATCCCACGCGACAGAAGGAAAACCAGAAGATAGTAAAAATAAGAACATACGAATAGAAATATCAAACATGGGTCATGCAAAACCAATAAATGAATCGACAAACGTATAAATTCCCCGTCGTAAATCGTTCATAATCTAATCATACAACTACGAACGGGTCCCTACGTTCGGATTGAGCGTGGAAATAGAAGGAAATCGAACAGGTCCCTACGTTCGGATTGAGCGCGGAAATAGAAGGAAACTAATGAATGGACGGTGAAAGCGAGAACCCTAATGTATCGAGCAGTCTATCTTATGGAGTAGAAGCTTTACTGGTGTCAACAATGTCACGGTGAGCAGCAACATCGGCGAGAGACTTGGGCCGGAACTTCTCAACCCAGGGTATAGCTTTGCCGTCTGGTGCGGCGGCAGGACCAGCGACGTTTTTGCCCTTGACGGATTTCCCAGCTTCATTGTTGCCATGGTCGTCGTCAATATCCATGACGGCGATTGCTTCTGACATGGCTGAAAATTTTCGAAACTGGAACTGGAACTGGACCGAGCTGCTTCAGAGTCTGATTTTGCTCTCGGCGTCGCGGTGAGCGTGCGATCGGAGACTGGAGCTAGGCCGGCAGTGGATTTTTTTTCCCTCTCTTTTTTTTTTTATTCCAGTTAATTGGAAATGTGGCGCCAAACAGGTTTGGGGTAATTGACCGTAACCCCTTCGTCCCTGCTTCCTGAAATTTACTCTAGTTCAAGAATGGCAGGGTAGAGATGTAACATCAACCCTTTAAAAGGGTTAAATGTGCTTTATAACTAAAAATTATATCCTTATATTTTATACGTCGTTTCAATTTGGTTAAATTAAAATTTTGATTCTTATATTTAAGAGTAGTCTCAGTTTGAAGTGTTTTCTAAAATATCTGATGTGTAAATTTAAGAAATTGCAGATAAAAATCATTTCACACTCCTAACTATCAATATCTCAAATCTCAAATCTCAAATTCAAATTGGTACGATCCCAAGAAAGAAAATTAGATGATGGATTACCTTGTTAATGGAATACCATGAGATAAGGAAAACGAGTTTCCTATTCGAAGGTTTGAACACAAATAGGTTGATCCAACCCAACTTGAATCAATAATTGTGTGTCACCAAAAAGATGGAGATGAAACTCATAACCTATGTATGACACTTATTATATTGTACATGTAAATTTTAATTAAATGTGAACCATTCAATCATTGACAAAAACGTCTAATACTTTATTTAAACTAACTTAACCAACCTACCATCGACATAAATGTAGCTTAGCGATTGAGATATTTTATAATTTTATATAATTTAGCGGTTCAAATTATGATCCTACATCACTAGAGGGGTAAACAAATTGTGTACCACGATCCTTTGCTTACCCACCTTTAAACAGTTTTCCTTGCGATTCTTATATTTATTTATTTGTTTATTTATTTGTTAGATGATCATGTAAAATAATCAACATTGAGTTTATGGATTACACTTGCACGTTAATCAAAATTTTTCATGTGCATGTAAATTAATGACATGCTAGCTTTGACGATGTTTAAATACAGTTTACAAAACATACCTACACTACAAAATATATGTACGTGTATATATATAAGGCAAGTGTGAAATTCCAATTGGTTTTATATTATCAATAACATAATTCACCAATAATATCGTCACATATTAAAATTACACTACTTGTTGATGCGAAAATTTGTCTAAAGCAGGGAGGATGACCTATGATGTCGATACGAGCAACTTGATGCAAATTCCTTGAGAGGTATATGCAATAATAGGTGGGTCACTCTGACGTCAAAGTTAGTTAGAAATATGAGCTTAGACATATCAGCTTCAAACATATTTTTCATATATGGATTGACGCGTGAATGTGTATTTATAGTGGCCATCGTGGTAGCTACTTATCCCATCAAGGTATTTTTTTGCTCGCGCTAAGTTCCTCGTAAGGTCTCTCGATCCACGCACATTATCAGACCTTTCCCGCACCAAGATGGGAAACTCGAGCATCCTCATTCCTGTTAAACTTCTTGGACCGTCGGACTCGCCGATCTTGCCTAAACAGGTCGGCCTCTTGGAGTTTGTCTCCCAGAACTACCCAATTTTGAATTAAAAAAAAAATCAGAGAAAGAAAACTTGTTTTAGTTTGACACTACGTTATAATAAAAATAAATGTTAGATGAAAAAAATCAAATTATGGACAACCTGAAAAAACAGTTGATCGTGGCACAAGCGAATAAAATATGTTTAAAATAGTTTTTTTTTCCTTCATCTTTTCTTTTTTCTTTTTTCTTTTTTTTTTTTGAGAGTAATTGACCAATAAAAGACTCAGATGAGGTTTAAGAATCTGACAGATAATCTAATTAGGATTAATTGATTATATAGACTTTAAGTTTGTGGTATAGAATGCTTTCTAAAAAGTTTTTTTTTTGTAATTATTAGTACTTTTATAATAAATCCCTTTTTTAATTTTATTATTTCAAAAATATTTATATTTAATTACTTACAGATATTTATAGAATTTATATTATATTATTACTTCAATAAAGATATTAAAGTTACAAGAAGAGAAAAAAGGAAAAATATTACTTCTGTAGAGAGATCAATTAGTGAAAGAACATGGGTAGACCAAGATTGGTAAAATAAAGTGTACGTGAAGCTAAAGGATAATACTGATAAGATAAAATATGTAAATTAGCGAGAGAGATTACGAGTGAAGAAGGGAAAATAGTTCCCAAAAGTATATTAAGTGAGATTAGTTAAAAGAAACGAGAAAGTGCCCGTGGAGAAAAATTAGTTAGAAAATATTAGAAATTAGTGAGTAAAAATGTGTGTAAAGAGACGTTAGTGATATAGAGAGAAAGAAAAAAGTTAGTGAGTAAGAATTGACGAGGGAGCTATGAATTTAGAGATTAAGGAGGAGACTAAGGAGATAGAAGATGAGTAATCGAAAGACTAAGAAGATAGAAGACGAGTAATCGAGAGACTAAAAAGATAGAAAATGAGTAACCGAGGACATCGTGCTTTAGATTCTTCTTCCTCCCTCCTCTGTTTTCGTTTTCGTTTGGTTCATGGTGATTTTGAAGAACTTAAACATGATCAATTTCTATGCTTTCATTTTTACTGAGATTAAATTGGGAGAGGTAGTTAGATAACTTAAAAGTTCATTAGAGAACAAAGTAATAGTATCTTTTCTTGATGACTAATGGTACGATGTCAAACCGACTAATGGTACAATTTCAAGCCAAACTGAGCATACAATTTCAAAATACTAAGTCAAATTTTGGAGACTAAACAAGAAAAGGAAGAACTTTTGTTTTTAAAATACAATTTAAAAATTTGAATGCATTTTAAAGAAATGCGGTAAACACATATCGAATAAATGACTAACGAGAAAACAAACATAATTAAAAAAAACAAAAATAGAAACAAAGACAAAGTCATTATCAAATAAATATGAGTAGTTAAAATATCTAAATATTTACCTCCTTTATACTACATAGGTTCAAATTTTCATATTTGTGATAAGAATATTATGAGCTGCGACCCTCAGTTGATTCCGACGACCGACATAGGTCTTATGAGATCCGTCCACTATTAAGATAAAAATAGTCCTGCCTTTTCCCTTCTTTAATAGGAAAGTCCGCTGCCTTTTTAACATTTTTCTAAAGGCTCTTATGTGAAGCTAACATGGTTTCTATACATACAAGTATAGTCAAAGAAAGATGAGATGGTCATAGATTGCAGCGAGACTATCATAGGAAAGTAGAAAAATAGTCGAGACATTTATCTTTTTTTTTAATACAACAAATTAGGAGTATGGAGATCTGAATTTTCAACCTCAAGAAAATGAGTAAGTATCCATTAGCGCCGATCTATGTTTATGTTGGCTAGTCTGACACATTTGGTCGAAATATCTATTTTGAAAAAATGACAATGTAATTTTTTTAAAAAATCGAATCTGACTAATTTTTAGAAGTTTCATCCAAAACCAATTTACATACAAAGCCCTACGAGATATTTTGATTTTAGCCCATACTTCTATTAGAGCCCAGCCCATGTATTTAGCATATCGGCCCATCTTCAAGCCCATACAGCAGTGCAATTGACTCGAAACCCTAATATATTTCTTCCCCTTCCTCATAAATTCCTGCTCCCTTCCATATTGCCTTCTGCTGTGCACTCCCGCCGCCGCCCGCCGAACGTTTTCACCCACCGATCGGCTGCCGCCCTAAGAAGTTCTCCTCTAGCAGGAGCTCTCGTCTCGTCAAGATGGGTAAGTTGCAGACCAATTTTCAGATTGTTCTACAGATGTACATTTGTGACGTTGTTTTCCTTTTTGTTAACCTTGGAGGACTCTGTGATGAATAGGTATTTCTCGTGATTCTATGCACAAGAGGCGTGCCACTGGAGGCAAGAAGAAGGCGTGGAGGAAGAAGAGAAAGTAACTATCTCTGCTCGTATATAGATTAGTGCAATTTGATTCACCTATTTTTACTTCTAATTTCCCAAACTAGTTGCTAACTGTCACACAAAAGATTTATTGGTATCTAGTAGACAGTGGTAATTTTGTAGGTTTAGCTGGAACATTGATATTTTATTAGATTACGTAGTGATGACACTGGCTAGGGTTTGTCATTTGTTTTCTTTTCCAGTATGGAATAAGCAAGGTCAATTAATCTGCGTTAGGTATCTCATCTCCTCTGATAGATTGATGGTCTTTTTGTCTAAATTAATATATGCTGTCTTCGTATTTTCATGTTTAGTTAATGGTGTAATTTATCTTATTTACGGAGTAATGTAGTCTCTTCCAATGTTTGTTATTCTGCAGTTCAATTCTATAAATTTTTTATGCCTAAGTTGAAATGTAACCTTCTTTACCATGTATTTATGAGTTATTGATACTGAAACTTCAACTATTACGATTGAATTTCTTGCCAAGTGAAGATACAACTTCCATTTGCTGTGTTATTTTTTTGAAGTCATCTTGATGTTGTTTATTTCCCCTCCTTTGCCTGTAAAGGTATGAGCTCGGAAGGCAACCTGCCAACACCAAGTTATCCAGTGACAAGTCAATCAGGAGGATTAGGGTTCGTGGAGGCAATGTGAAGTGGCGTGCTTTTAGGCTTGATACTGGAAACTACTCGTGGGGTAGTGAGGCTGTGACTAGGAAGACCCGTATTCTTGATGTGGTGTACAATGCATCTAACAATGAGCTTGTTCGTACTCAAACTTTGGTGAAGAGTGCCATCATTCAGGTTGATGCTGCACCATTTAAGCAGTGGTATCTTCAGCACTATGGACTGGATATTGGACGGAAGAAGAAGACTGCAGCATCTGCTAAGAAGGAAGAGGTAGAACAAGCTTTGTAGATCAAGTGATTGATTTGGTTTATTCGAATTTCAAGTATTAGTTTTTTGAGGCATTCAAACTTTGTTTGATGGATTATGTTAATGGCATTTGTAGTCTCTACAGATAGTCTAATATAATACACTGCATGATGTCTAAGACAACTCCATTTTTATGGTTGATAGGAAGGTGATGCTGCTGCTGAGGAGGTGAAGAARAGTAACCATGTCCAGCGCAAGCTGGAGAAGCGTCAACAGGATCGTAAGCTTGACCCACATATCGAAGAACAATTCAGCAGTGGTCGTTTGATGGCTTGTATCTCTTCAAGGCCAGGCCAATGTGGTCGAGCTGATGGGTAAGCAGTGTGCAGACTTTGATTTATGATTCTGATTCTTTTTGTTGTGCTCTTTCCAACTTGTTTGAGCAATGATTTTTGAGTAATTTTGATGAGGTTTATCAAATTTGTGGCAGATATATCTTGGAGGGCAAAGAACTCGAGTTCTACATGAAGAAGCTCCAGAAAAAGAAGGGAAAAGGAGCTGCTGCATAAGTTTCGTCGTTGAGATGATCTGCCCGGTTTCCCCTTCAATGATTCTGTCTGCCCATTTTCTTTTTTTCTCTAATGAAGACGATATGTTGTTGCAGCTAAGATGAAACAGTTATTTACGAACTCAATTTTGCTGGTATTAGTTGTTTAATTCAAATACTTTCTTTGATCCTTTTCGATTATAACAGTTTGTTTAGTAGCTCAGAGTTTTTAAGTGCCCTAATCTATTTATGTGTGCTTCCAATGGTGTCATTTGATTTGGTCTATTTGAAGTCCTATAATTTGGAAGATTGAACCACTCAAACAGGTACCGTTTAACCAATACAATTGAATCTGTTTCTCGATTTTCTGTTTTTGCTCGTTACCTGATTATTTCTCGATTTTCCTTCAGAGTTGTAAATATTTTTCTTCGAAGAACCACTGATGATTGAAATCCTATTTTATTGGTTCTTTTTCTTTTTTGGTGTATAACATTATTGCGTGCCTGTAATTTTGGGTCCTTTAAAGATACTCCAAAGTCTTAAGTAACAAGTTTTTGGGAATAGATAGGTTTGTTTGTGTCTTAACACGTAATGGTTGTGTTGTATGCCTAAATTTTTATTCTAATTCTTGAATTTTGGGTAGATTTTAGAATTTATCCATCCGATAGTAATTGGGTTAGTTTCAATCTTATTTGAAAGATAAGTTTGTATCAATTTTATGATAACAACATATATAGTTTTATAGAAAAAATTATCCCAAAACCTGATATATGTGTACACAACCAAATTTTCTCTTTTTTTTTTCCTCGAATAGTTTGTAGTGAACGTAAAACATCACATCAATTTAAATAATTGTTTTAAAAAGATGTACAAAATATCAACAATAAATCGCATAAATTTTAATTGTTCCCTTAACTAATTTAGTATTAATTTACTAAGCACTAGATAACATGTCTTTCATATTTCAAAGTTTACATTTCTTTAGAGAGAGTTTCCTTTCTCGATAATACTAGATTACTAAAATCAAATGTTTTAAACCTGATTTTACAAGTTTTTTTTTTTTTTTAATTGGGCTTGTAAATGTGTGCTTGTTTTATCTCTTAAAACGCATACAAATATTATTATCTTTACATTCATATATTTTTTACTATAATAAATATGGAGACTGACCTCCAATAGTCATATATTATCCTTACATTAATTTATTAGTGAGCTAATAAAGTACACATCACATAGCCTCGAAATTTACAATATCTCAATCATACTCATAAAATATTAATTTATATAATAACATAAAAACGTAAACCGGTTATGTGATTAATCATTAATTAATGTAAATGGAAAGATAGTGACAAGAAATAAAAAAAAAAGAGGTCATATTCTGGCAGAAGGCACGTTGCAGCAGGCGAGGGCTGTAATTTTAATTTTAATTTGGAAAAATCAAAATGTCATTCGCGGTTTTTGTTCGTGTTGAGAATTGAGATTGGGCGAAGAGAGGGGTTTTTGGACATTTCAAATTCTCAAAAGGACAGCAAAAAAGGAGGGGGTCAGAGAAAATTTCAAAGAAGACTCCATCAACGCTGGTTTTGGAGGGAGGGAGTAGCTCTACCTGCGAACTGCCACTGCCTTTTCCGCCATGTGAGAAACCTTTCATTTCCTTTTAAATCTCTCTCTTCTTCTTCCTTCGTCTCGGTTCTGCAAAATGTCGTCGTCAACCAGCATTTCTAGGTCCCAACGATCCTCTAACATCTCGCCATTCCGCTCGCGGAAGTCTCCGGCGGCTTCGCCGGCGCCCAGACCGACCGGACGCCCTACCACTCCGTCCTCCAGTGCCTCCTCGAGGCCTCCGTCGAAGCTTTCGGTTTCTCCGGTGACATCTGCTAGCCGTACACCGAGCCCTCCCACTCCCACTATTGACCTCCCCGATGTTATCAAGGCCAAAGAAAATGTGACGGTCACGGTTAGGTTCAGGCCTTTAAGGTATTGCTTGCTGTTATTTTTAACTGATTTGGAAAAAAAAATGGTGGACCGACTTTGGCGGAAACTTGTTAGTTGGTCATCTTCGAGCTGATGATGACACTCGGAAGCTTACTCTCTCTCTTTTGCCTTTCGGTTCCACTTTGAGCAGTGTCAGAGAGCTCAATAAAGGGGATGAGATAGCTTGGTATGCTGACGGGGAATACACAGTGAAGAACGAATATAATTCATCCGTTGCTTATGGGTTTGGTTCGTTTTACTTCCCTCCTTTGCACTTTCTTTAATATTCGGCTACGTTTTGATTGAATTGGATATAATCAAGATGTTCTGAATCTTGAATTTATTTTTGTCCTGAATGGATCCCGAAAGATTTTACAGTAAAAAGTTGATAATAAAGTCAGGTTTATTATCTTTTAATGGTTATTTTCTTGCGTGTTGCAGATAGAGTTTTTGGTCCAGCTACAACGACACGTCATGTATACGATGTCGCTGCTCACCATGTTGTTGCCGGTGCGATGAACGGAATTAACGGTAAATATTCATAACTTTTATATCTGAAAACAATAAGCTGCATGCTCATAGCATACCGGTGTAAGTTTTCAACATGGTACTCGAAATGATGATGTTCACTATTCTGCGGAAACAAGCAAATTTAATGGCTTTGCTGATTTGGTCTCTCAGTCGCATCCTATACTATTTGTTCGAGATTTTTCATTCAGTAGGATGTTTTGTTATTACATGAAGTAAATTTTTGTGAAAAAGATTGAATATTATTGATGCTTAGAAAAACTGGTTCGCCTATGGCCTAATGGGCTATCCATACTCTGTTGCTGCTTTATTTTTTTCATCTGATGTGCTGCTAGCATTAATCATTACTATATTTCTTGAGCAATGCACTGGTAGAATCATTTTACCCAGTAAAGGGTGATTGAACTTCTAGAGCGGATGCTACTTGTATTGCGCATGGGTCCATTTAATGGTTCAAGTTTAATTCCTAATCCAAGAAACTAGTGATCACAAGTGATTAGCAGTTTTTTGAATCAGAGGTGTAATGTTATGTCTCTTAATGCGTTTCTTTTGAGATTACTGGAAATTGATTCTGCAGGTACTGTTTTTGCATATGGTGTTACTAGTAGTGGGAAGACTCATACCATGCATGTAAGTAACCGAACTTTACCATATCCTCCTCAAAGTATAACCTGTATCTTTTACCGTTGTTAATTCTCTAACCCATCATTTTAACTTAGTTTCACCCTGCTTTAAGTCAGACAAGTCCTTCAATTGGTTCCACATATACAAGGAGGGTGTATGAGGAAATGATAGTGTGAGGGGGAGTTAATTATGTGGGGGAATATTTTTTACTGGAAAGTGGGTGGGTCCTGCAGGAGCAATTATCTGTGTAAATAGGAGAATAGTAAGCGTTGGACTCAGTTATTTTGGTATTTTGTGGACAGTCTAGACCTCTGGAAAATCTAGAACCTTTGTAAATCTTTTTCTTCTATTCACTAAGTGCTAAATGGAAGGAAACTCTCTCCAGTTGTATTATCAGCTACGTGCTCAAGCATTTCATGCAACAAAGAATCTTTGACGAAGTATAATTTCAATTTCTTCTCATGTTCAGGGAGAACAAAAGTCACCTGGAGTTATCCCACTGGCAGTAAAGGATGTATTTGGGATTATACAAGAGGTAATGCAGTAAGCTCTCTGTTAAATGTGGGCATCACTATATAATGTTGTTTTTAACCTCTTTACAAATATGTGGGTGAACTTTGACAACCATGTTGACTAACGCTGTAGACACCCGAGCGGCAATTTCTTCTTCGTGTTTCATATCTAGAGATCTATAACGAGGTTAGTCGTACAGCAAATTTGTTACTTTTGAATGTCATGTCATAATTTGTGAAACTTCTTTTCCATGACGCATCTAAATCCTTGCATAAAGAAAATCTGGCAAAGTATAAGTTTAAGTGACACATGGTTTCAAACATACGAGTTTTTTATGTAGTAGATGAAAGATAAATGTTCAGATATTGACAGCTGGGAATTACATTTCCCTGTTTTCTCACTTTAACTACTTATTTTTGCAGGTCATCAATGATTTACTTGATCCAACAGGTCAGAACCTACGAGTACGAGAGGATTCTCAGGTGCTTATATAAATTTGGAAACCTAAACATCAAATTGTTTATTGGTTCATCATTTTAGTTTAATGAGATAGTTACTTTAATTAATCAGCATTTACTGTTAATCTAACCAAGCTTGGGTGGATATCATTTCCTTGGTATTGGGGGCTGTTTCTATAACTGCTTCAATAACTGTACTCATTTAAATACTTTTGGCATAGTACTTGATTCTGAACCTATAGGGAACTTGGACTGTAGAAGTTCCCACCATTGTGATTGTTAAGATCCCAAGCATAATTGAATAAATTTGTCTTCCACGTGCATATGAGTAACTGTGGAAGGACATTAGGCAAAGACTCGTTCTTCTTAATCAAAAATCAAAACAAGCAATATCAATATGCATTCATACCTATGAATTATGGGTTGAAAATATGAATTATATAAATCAAGGAAATAAAGATATTCCCAAATGAGAGTTCTAAGTTTTCTATGGTGCTTATGGGTCCTATGAAATAGCAGACTCCTAATGCTTTACAATTTGAGTTTCTTAGAAAATTTGCTGTATTAGTTCAAGTACAATATAGTTAGCTGGAAAATTCCATCAAACTGAATGACGTCTTACAAGTTACAATCCTTGATTTATACGGTTTTAAATATATAGTTTATTTTGGGATCTTGTCTTGAATTTATAGTCTTTAATGCTTATTCATAGCTTATCAAAAAAAATTCTTATCCATAGGGAACTTATGTTGAGGGCATCAAAGAAGAAGTTGTTTTGTCCCCCGCTCATGCTCTTTCCTTGATAGCATCTGGAGAAGGTTGGCATATTATAAAGCTACTTTTAGTATTTGGTCCATTGAATTTGTATAAATTTTCTTCCTAGTTTCCTTGGTGTACGTTCTGGTGTTGTCATCTTTTAGCAGGAGATTTTATTTTGTAAAATGTTGCAAAAATTTTCTCCTACCTTGATATCAATGTATCTTGGTTGGCATATCCTTATGTTTAATCCTCTTGATCTATCTTTTAGTGGCTGACCTACTCAAAGAATTTCCTTATTTTATTTTTTCTATACAGAGCATCGGCATGTGGGATCTAATAACTTCAATCTACTTAGCAGCCGGAGTCACACTATATTCACTTTGGTAAAATTTCTTATTCCCTAGTTGACTTATGAGGCCATGTTGATTAGTTTTAGAATATTGTGTGGAAGTCAAACCTGACCAATTTGAAGAGTAAGTAATTAGCATCTAGTACCACTGCTGCACTTCAGGTTCTTCCATTCCCCTAGGAACTCGAATAAAAAATATATGGGAAAAGAAAGACGTCATACGCTAGTTATTTGCTTGTTCAAAGGGTGAAGATGCAGTAGATGAAACTTGAATGTTGCTGTTCTATAATTTGTCACGTTTTCCTTTTTCTTTCCTTACCTATTTGAGAGCTGTATGTTGATTAATCTTTGCCCGTGAAACATTATGGTTGTGGTACTCTAATATTTGGTGGATTTTTTGTTGGGGGGGAGTCTATTATAAATAAGCTAACTTGTTCTTGGTCCCAGCCTGAATTTGCCTATAAATCAACATGTGTGGTGGAAGTTGCTCATGTTGACCCAAACCATGCCATAACATGAGAAAAATGACACTATCAGTACCCCTGATTTTTTTATTTTTTTAATTTTAACTTTTTTTTTTTGGGATAGGAAACAAAAGATGTATTGAAAACAAGAAAGTTACAACTAATGAGCAGGGGGAAGAGAGAACCTTCTTGGCTCTCCCTAAATAACTAACGTAGGGTAGCCTTCAAATCTTGGATAATCACGACTACACTACAATTAAAAAAAGGTTTTTATGGTTTAAACTTGTATTGTTTTCTGCTGATTATAGTTGGCAAGATGTGATAAAATTTTTAAAGGTGGGTGGAAGTACGCAATTATATTACTTTTGCTATATTATGGGATTGGTTGGGATCTACATAATTTTATAAATGCATAGAGAATAGAGATCACGAAAGATAAAACTCTAAAGACCATATGGACCATTTTTAGGTATCCATTACTTTTACATTGGAATGATGGTATTTTTATACTGTGCTTATAAATTGGGGAAGTTTTTTTCTAACCATCTTGTTCCCAGAATTTCTATGTTAGATGTTTGCCAATGGATGCGTTGCCTTTGATTTGCAATGGCAGCTAGCAATTTATGTTTTGTTTGCTGATGGTCTGCCTTTAACTAAAAGATTTAGTTATTGAATCTAACTTCTCCTTTTCCCCTCAATAATTAGACCGTTGAAAGTAGTCCACATGGGGAGCATCATGGTGAAGAAGATGTAATATTGTCTCAATTGGTAAGAATATGGTTTCTTACTGATATTTTTAGTCAATCCAGCCCTTTTAGGCTAATAATTCATTTCTAATCTTGTTTACTTCTTTGCTACGTTTTAGTGGTGATCCTAATAGAATTCAAATGCTTGCTGTAGCACTTAATTGATCTTGCAGGATCTGAAAGTTCAAAAACAGAAACAACTGGTCTGCGGAGGAAAGAGGGTTCGTACATCAACAAGAGCTTACTTACTCTGGGCACTGTAAGATGTTACTCCTTTTTTCGTGTATATATTAGCCTATTTTGCTTGATGCTTGCTTCATTATTCGTCCATTGAGAGTCAAATGATTGAACGTAAACCATCATGGGATGACCCAAGTGGTCAATGAGGGCCAATGTAAATAGCCAAGGACTTAGAGGGAATGAGTTCAAACCATAGTGGCCACCTACCTAGGATTTAATATCCTACGAGTTTTCTTGTCAACCAAATGTAGTAGGGTCAAGCGGTTGGCCCATGAATAGTCGAGGTGTGCGCAAGCTGGCCCGGACACACGGATATAAAAAAAAAATGATTGAAAGTAAAAGACTTTTGAAGTTCGTCTTGAACGCAAAAATTTCTCCTTAAAATTTTCCTGTGCAATATAATTTTATTATCAACGAAGATATTTTTCAGTTCTGATGGATATCATCCCATCTTCCTTTAATTAAAGGATTTTTTTTTAAATGAGAAAACTTTATTAAACTAATGAAATATACTGAAAAATGGAGGAAAGTATCAGCCAGAGGTGCTAAAGGAAATTATAGAAACGCCATCTTATAGCACAGATATTGAAGAAGAGCTTATCTGAAAGGATTTTGTTTCTTTTTTTTTTTTGAACAAGATACAAACTTCTCATTGAAATAATGAAAAGGAACAATGATGTTTAAAGATACAAACTCTTGAAAGAGTGAAAGAAAGAAAGCAGAAAACATAAAACACAAAAACTTAACAAGATACAGGATTTTGTTTCTTATTAAACACAATGAAGTGCTTTTCTGAAAGAGAGAGACTCAGTCTCATCCAAGTTATCCTCTCAAGTATGCCTTTCTACAAATTTTCTCTTCTTAAAAGTTCCTTAGATGATTAAGGAGTAGGATAAAATTTTCGGGATTGTGGGACCTTGGCATTGGTAGTTTGGATGAGCAAAATACTAATCTGCTTGCCAAATGGTTATCGTATGCTCAGTTGGAGATTGGCCCATGGGTCGCTTAGGAATGCCCTTGGGAGGCAACTCGAATAACTTGGAATCATGTTAGGCAAAGAATTTATATAAGACTTTAAAAATGAAAAAAAAAACTATTTTCTCAAAGAGAAGTCGGCTCACAATCCTACAATCCGTGCTCACAAATATGTCTCTTAATTGATAAAATTCTTATCAGGGATTTTCTGTGGGCTTACGATGGTTTAGATTTTGGTTATCTCTCTTGATTGGTTTGAAGGGGTCTCTAATAAAAAAATGTAGGGGGTTAATGGTGTTGAGTCTGTTGACATTCTTAAATGGAGGAACACAGCTTTGACGTCCAAGTGGGCTGTGAAGATTTCCTATTGAAAGGGGATGCATATAGTCATCGCCCACAGTAGTTTTTGTTTCTTCTAAAATAGTACAACCACGTATTAATGTTTCAAAAAATTCCAGGTGATTTCCAAGTTAACTGATGAAAAGGCAACTCACATTCCATATCGAGATTCAAAACTTACTCGGTTGCTGCAGTCATCTCTAAGCGGCCATGGAAGGATTTCTGTACGTCAGTGTAGTTATTTAATAAACTGAATACTTGTGAAAACTTGTCTGCTAATGCTTACAGTCATGTATAATAGTTACACTATTTATTATATATTTCCCGATTGTTTTGTTTTATGATCTTTTCTCAGCTCATTTGCACTGTGACCCCTGCCTCTAGCAATAGCGAGGAGACACACAACACCTTAAAGTTTGCGCATCGAAGCAAGCGTGTTGAAATAAAAGCTTCTCAAAATAAGGCAAGTTTTGTATTGTCTTGATGATAAATCTATTTTGAGTCTGGAAAATTATTCAAGTGGAAATGAAAGATTACAACTTATCTGATTAATATATGAACAGGATATTCAGTCTGTAGACTTCCAAATTGATGTTTACTCGTATCTATAGACATTTATAGAAAAGTTCATGTATTAACTATGTGATTTATCAGATCATAGATGAAAAATCTCTCATTAAAAAGTATCAGAAGGAAATTTCCAGTTTAAAGCAGGAGCTTCAGCTACTAAAGCGTGGCATAATGGAGAACCCTAGTACAACATTGTCTACACAAGAAGATTTGGTCAATTTGAAGCTTCAGGTATGTTGATGAAACCTAGCATCTAAGATGTAGTACCCCTAGAATACTCAACAGAAGTATTTACTATTATGAAAAAGTCTTGCAAATACAAGAGACTATCCCTCTATTTATAGAAGATATTGGCCACTAGGTAAAGCAGTTACCCACAAAATAACCAACTAACAAACTACCAGAACCAGAACCAACTAAAAACTAAACAATTAACAAACCCAAATTCAAATTACAAAATTATCTCTAATCCTACTCCATCATTTGTGCTGTCTGTGAGAACGGTGACGTATTAAGCATTGTTCTTACTGAAAAATTTCCAATAATCACAATAGATCCTTGAAAACACTCTAGGACAAAGAACTTGCAAAAACAAGTTAGCACTCCAACGATCTAGTGAGTCTCTGTGCTAAGTAAATAATAAGAATTCAAATCAATTAGTTTTTGCGTGCCAGACTCATTTGTTTCTATGGTATTTACAAGAGATGGGGAAAAGTAACCGTTTAGAAATATGGCTCTCCATTTGAATAAACGGTTCTAGTTCCGCAAAAGTAGGAAACTTGCGTGCTTAGTGGGGGAACGGTTGGCCTGCCACGTGGGTAGTAACAAAACCGTTTGGCTTGGTACCTAGTTCGGTTGTGGTCCGAACTGGTTCCCTTTGCTCTCACTGGATATTTTTACCTGTAATTAATTTGAAGTAGTGAGGTATCTTAAGATTCGAAGGTTAAAATATTCAGATAAGTTTTGTTTCCGGTAAGCTAGATCTGAATATTTTTCTTATCAGTTTTTATAAATAAAGAATGCCTTGAGGAATGAAAAGGTCTAAAAATGGGGCCATCGCAGGACTGAACCTAAAAATTGAATATTTTAATAATTTTATGGCCTCGTTCTTTGTAGACCTTCTTATGTTCCTCCTAGCTTTAGTTTTGAATGTTGGGAGGAGTTGAGTTTTCTTTTTCCTGCAGCCACATGTTTGTGGTCTTATTTCTTCATCAAATGCCTTCATTTTGCCATACGTTGCTGCAATTTTTTTCCCTTTTAGAAAATTTTCTTAATAAGTATTATTGTTTGATGTGATGTCAAGCTGGAAGCTGATCAGGTTAAATTACAATCGAGATTGGAAGAAGAGGAAGAAGCAAAAGCTGCTTTGATGGGAAGAATTCAAAGGTTGACAAAACTAATCCTAGTTTCTACTAAAAATGCCTTGCCATCTAGTGTTGCTGAAAAGCCAGGGCAAAGAAGGAGGCATTCTTTTGGTGAAGATGAGGTCTGTATTGAGCTTTTTAATTCAGTCTTTAGGATAAGTACCTGGTATGAACTTCCCATTGCATTTCGTCTTTTAGGCTTTATAATAATTTCTTCTACTATGGAAATTATTCATACTACTTCTGAATTTGGAAGTTAAGCTATATATTCCTTATTAAACTTTCTTATTACTGATAAATTTATTAATTAATTACTATTATTATTACTTTGCAGCTGGCATATTTGCCTGATAGGAAACGAGACTACCTGAATGATGATGATGGTGGGAGTTGTGCTTCCGGGGTTTCATTAGATGGAAGGGATGATGTTTTAAATCTAGATGATTTGGTCAAAGATATAAAAATTAACAAAAAACGTGGAATGCTTGGCTGGTTCAAACTCAGAGTAATGTTTTCATCTTTTATTTTTACTCCTTTTAACCATCTTCTGTTTATTGGTAAAACTTAAAACGATCAGATTCAGAATACAAGTTCATTGGCCTGTCGTATGTATACTTAAGTTTAAATAAACTATTATTTTGTGGCTTCAAATACTAACTCCTTTTAACCACTGGCACGAGATGTAATATTATGCCCCAAGTCCTGTAGCAATTCGCGATGGAACTTGGAAGTTGCTAAATGATGTGTAGTTCTTGACACTTTATAATTGTATGAAGGCATTTTCTTAATATTGGAAACATTATGATTTGATGTCTAGGTTTATCTACTATATAGGATTGATCTTGTAATTATTCTCTTGACATGAAGGGTTAGCAGCACTGCTTCTGATACTTTTGCCCTTTTATCAATATTCTATTGTATGTACTCTAACATTCCACTATGTTGGTGGAGTGCTTTTTATCCATAGATAGGGAGAGTGAGATGTATTTTCAGTTTTCTATCAGTAGAACCACCCCTGGTTGGCCATCCTTGGTTGGCCCTTGGCCTAGGAAGTAGGAGCAAAGGGCAACATGTAAACTTAGATGTTTATAACTCACTGTCAAAATCGTGGTTGCCACTTATTTAGGATATTAAATATATTTTGAGTTCCTTGATTTGACGCCAAATGTTGTATGTTGTGATTTGAGGTTTTTTCTTCATTAAGTTTTCAGTTTTATATTTTTTAAGTTTCTTTCTTTAAAGGTTAGATTTAATTTTATGTTATTTTTCTTTTATTTTCAGTTTTATGACTAGTAAGTTTTTATGTTTTAAATGTTTTAAGTTATATGTTGGTTACAAAATAGGTCCTAAGTATTAAACCTATATAAAGGTGAAGTTCCATGAGAAGTTTGTATTACCAAAATATTTCTAACATATATTTGGGACCACCACAATATTTTTACCTTTCACATATTTGGTACAACCATATTTTGTACCACATTTCTTGTATCACCAACCTTTGCACTCCTTCATTTGTTTATTCACAATTTTGAATCACTTCAATTTGAAGTTGATTTCTCATCCATTGTTTTCTACTCTTTCACATTTCATATTTCCTTATTGTTCATCAAACATTGAGAATTATACTATTTCTTCCGCAATATTATCTTTTATCACTTTCATCTTCTCAACATTGTAGAATCATGTAGGTCTCTAGGTATATAGAAGCAAAGCTCCGACTCCCGGTTATAGAAAAATAAAGAAAGAAACTTTAGTTCATATATTTTACTTGGAATTTTATTGTCTGACTTTTCTTGTTTAGTGTCAAGGAAACTATTCCTAATACCAGTAGAGAACTTAAAAGCCTATGTTTACTGTGCAGAAGCCCGAGAAAACTATTGATACTGAGAGTTCAACTGGTGAATCACCTGCATCTCGTTCAAAAGTTTCTCAAAATCGGATGATACCTGATGAATTGAAGAATGGGAGGAAATCAATTTGCAGAAAGGGAGATAATTCTTCTATTATTTACTCATCTCAAGAGAGAACCCAAGCAGGTGACTTATTTGGTGCAACTATGGATGGTCACCGTCTGCCTCCGGTGAGAAATTTACTGCATGCATGATGATATTGAATGAATATTACATTTGTTGAAGAAAAAAGGATTTACAAAGTTCTGGAGACCAATGAATTCTGTAATAAGAAAGGAGGTAAAGGAATCAAAATGTTTAATAATATTACATGAACGAGATGCCAGAACAGAATATGCAGTCCTATTTCTCGTCAATCTAGGAAGTTGGTAGAACTCTCCCTTACACAATGGGTAAGGACTTTATTCAGAAGAATGTATTTTTTCCAAATACAAAACTTTGAGAGGTTGGGTTTTTTCCCAATAATTTCCTTGTTCTTTTCTTACCTGGCCTTATAATAATCTGCAGTGACCAAGTTAGTTTCTCTCACTATCCTCCCCTTAATTCCTAATTCAATAGTATCAAAGGCATCATATCCCTATTACTGGATTGCTAGGATCGTCCCTAAAATGTTTACCTTTACTGTCTGAGTTGGTTTGAAGAAGCTTTAGTTAACCCTTTTCTTCCTTGAATTATTGAATTAATGTCTCGATGTCTTTTTGTTATGCGTATGAAGCTGCATCTCTGAAGGAGTATATTTACTAATTTTCAAGTTCCAGCTCTTTTCTATGAAGACCTGATTACAATTTGCAATTATTTTGGATATATACATATATAGGTGCATAGATTGCAAATTTTGTAGACAGGGATTGCTACTTTCATGTGGATATTATAGAATTAGGAAATTGGTTGAATCCCATTGATGTATTAAAGAACCTTCAAATGATTGGTTGTGGTACATGTAGATGTTAGAATTACAAGAACTATAGGTGCTCAGTTTGACCCTTTCTTCCAAGTCTAGCTGATGAAACTTTTCTTTTCCTAGGTAGTACCCCTTGGAATTGCTTATTTATCCCTAGCCTTCTCCCAAGCGAGTGCTTTTTCTATTTAGGGAAGAAGTTGAAACCACTCTTGCTAATTGGAATGGAGTGTAATCGCTCATATAACTTTTATTCCTTCTCCTTGGGTTGATTATTTCCTTCCCAAAAGAAACCAAGATAATGTATCCACCAGTTCGCTAATGCTATGTAGCAATACTCTGTTGTCTTATTTTGCTACATCATTGGAATAATCTTTTTCTGCTGGATAGATACTCTCAAATCATCTGGTTGTGTAATAAATTCTAGGTGGTTCTTTTCAATTGGGTTGCTTTTGTTACAAGTACTGTGTTATACATTGTGATCCGAAACAATATTTGCAACATGTTCATTTCTTTTTTTTTTTCCAGAGTGGAACTACTCTTACTGACCAGATGGATCTTCTCTGTGAGCAAGTCAAAATGCTGGCTGGGGAGGTTGCCTTGTGTACTAGTTCACTGAAGAGACTGTCAGAGCAAGCAGCCAGGAACCCTGAAGATTCCCAGATTAAGGTTTGCTATTATTTTTAGGCCACGATAACAGTTGAAGTAACTCCAGGAATGTCCTAAACATTGTTATGGATTATGTAGGCACACGTGCAGAAGTTGAAGGATGAAATTAGTGAAAAGAAGCGTCAAATACATGTTTTGGAGCAACGTATGGTTGGATCAGTTGAATTGTCTCCACAGATGTCAAGTGGCATTGAATTGAGTCAGGTAATCGTATCACTCAGAGATCCCATCATAATTTAATTTTAACCAGAAGGTGGTCCCCTTTAACATGCACATATTCCACACAGGGAATGATACACAAAATTTATTGTGTTGTGTTTTTATTTTCTTCCAAGGTATTTCTCTCTAAAGGGCTTCTTTTACTTTGATGTAGGCTTTATCAAAGCTCACTACGCAACTCAATGAAAAGATTTTTGAACTTGAGGTTAGTCATATTCCTACACACACACAGATGGTGTCTAAATATCAAATCATTTTTTCTTTTAAAAAATACTGAGTCGCCTTTTCTTTGTGGACCCAATATTGAAGATTAAATCGGCAGACAATAGGATACTTCAGGAGCAACTGCAAGTGAAGGTAATATTTCTAAGCCCTCATCAATTATTCATTTTTATTTGATTTTTGATTTTCTATCTCTTGTAGACAGCAGAAAATGCAGAGTTGCAAGACACTATTCTTTTGCTAAGGCAGCAACAAGAGTCGTCATCCCAGAAACACTTGAGAAATTATAGCAAAAATGAAGACGAAAATGCTTCTCGGAATCTTGCACATCCAAACTACTCTATACGGACAAAGATCGTAGAACAGAATAAATTAAGTTCATGGGAGGATAAATATCCTGAAGAAAACACCCCGAAAAGTGTCATGAGCTTGAATAGAGTTTTTACCCAGGACGACACTAAAGATTGCAACAGTGACAATTTTTGTCATTCTCAAGTTATGCAGGTTACAAAAATGTTTATTAGAAGATTGACAAATTAAAATACATTTCATTTGATAGATTTTGCTCCTGATGTACTTTCTTCTGTTTCTGTTGCTACAAAAATGTTTATTACTTCGATGTAGGCTGCGATAGAAAATTTGAAGCAAGAGAATGTGAGACTGGTTGAAGAAAAGGATGGCCTTGAGATTCAGAGTCGTAAACTTGCAGAAGAAGCTTCATACGCGAAGGAGTTAGCTTCAGCTGCCGCAGTTGAGCTCCAAAACTTAGCTGAAGAAGTTACCAAACTCTCTTATGAAAATGCCAAACTTGTTGGTGACCTTGCAAATGCTAAGGATAGTTACTGCAGATCCTGCTGTGCTCAAAAGTCCTATGATTCAAAGCACCATCTTGGTAATGCTAGATATCAAAGAGAAGCTGCTCTCGAAAAGGCACTATTTGACAGAGATCAAAGAGAAGCTGAGCTATATCGAAGACTCGAAGAGGCAAAGCGCCATGAAGAAGATATAGAAAACGAACTAGCAAATATGTGGGTGCTATTTGCTAAAATGAGGAAGTCTGAACTTAATATTGAGGACATGTCATTTGAGGGAGTTCGTCCATCCTTTATTTTACAAAACCGCGCTAAAAATGGATGTATGCCATCTAATATTCCCTCTGATAGATTGTCTGAAGAAGATGCTAGATGCATAGATGAAATGAGAGCTGGATATCAGAAAGAGAGGATCAGATGTAGAGATCTCCAAAGCTTTGGTTCCCAAATGAAGGTATGATTCTCATTCAAACAAGATCTTTGATATTGTATGATGCATTTTTACATGTGAAAAATGGTAAAAAGTAATCTTCTTATAAGCTTTCACATAAGTTGGGACTGAATGAATATTTAGTCTGTATTATCAAATGATTCAAATCTCTTCATTCTTCGTGGTTCTACAAATGTGGTCTGAATCTGACTGATAGAACTTTTACAAATGTGGATATGCTGTGTGCCTTGACAATGGCCTCCTTTTTAAGAATTAGAAATTAAAACACAGAAATAAGACTTGTTTGGGATAGAGCCCATTCTAAAAGTTTCCTACAATAAAAGCTCGATACCTTCAATTGGTGATTGAATTTACTTTTTGATGAATACAAATGCCTAATTTAATTCAGTAAAAATTTAAAAAACAAATAAATAATAACGAGAAATGATCATCAGAATTTAGAACTCAAATTAATTCAGGATTAACTACTGCTTTTGAAGTTTAAAAAGGAAAGAAGTTTTGAGTTTACGAGAATTTGTAGGACTACATTTTGTTTTTGCTTTTGTTTCTGTTTAATGTAAAACCATCAATTGATTAAAATTAATCTCTATATTTAGTTTGATGTCTTAATCAATTTCTATATTTAGTTTGACGGCTAAAACTCGACGGCTAAAGCGTCTTCTTATTAAGAAGTTCTCTCTTCAAACTCCTACTGTCGTTACTTATTGAGAAGTTCTCTCTTACTTCTACTCGTTGAATTAAAAAAAAAAAAATTGATCCCTAATTTTTATTTTTAATAAAAATAATTTAAACTTGTATCTTAATGCTTTCTCCAATTAAAAATGAGACAACTGTGGAGAGCTTAATTTCTCGTTCATTTATGGTCATTATTGAAAAGATGAACATTGATGGTGAGAAAAATATCAAGGCTTCAATTTCATCAATGTTGATGGATATTATTAGAAAGTTCGTTAACAAATATTTAAACTAGTTATGTTGAGGAAGTTATAAATTCTGTCATATTTGTGAATTGAGGTCGTTTTGTTAATATATATTTTTAGTATTTTATCGAAAGTTCTACAATATATAATGATGTCAAACTTTTCAATTAATAAAAACATGGATAAATAACAACGTACAAATGGCATCATAATACCAGTCTCAATTTTTTAGTGTGCAATTGAGAACATTTGTACAAGACTTTCTTTCATGATCTCATTTGTATTCTATAACTAGCCTCGTGTATTCTATTATAACTAGCCTATTGACTTCATCAACCTATCACATTGTAAAGGGGAGAAAACGACCACGTATACTTGTAAACTAACAACGGAATATACAAGTTTTCGAGTTTGAGTTTCTGACATTCTAACTATTTTAAGCTCTCCTGAAGATCTTGGAGGCGTACTCACGATAATGCCCTGTAAGGATACTAAAAGGGCCTTCTTCCGATTGACAAAGTCCTTGCTCAAAGCCCTGATCTTCCCTGAAAGTAAAGAGGCAGCCAGAGAAAAGCTTGTGAGAAGGATATATCCGCGTAGCAACATAACCAGCAAAACAGGAGACGAGAATAGTATAGTCTACTTTCTAAATTTACTGCATTTGGTAGAAACCCATCCGATCTGTTGCTTCTCGTTGTCATAGATCACCATTTTATCTTGCAGAGAGATGTCTGAATGAGAAATCGGGTCAGCCAGTATAACAAGAAGGCAACTAAAGACACAATTTAGTCGGGTCAATCGGGTCAGAGAGATGTTTGATAACGATTTCATTTTAGTTTTCTATTTTCAGAAAATCATGCTTGCTTACTCATACTTCTTTGGTATCTTTTCATTTTTCTTGAAGACACAATTTAGTTGTTAGTATGATTCAAAAACAAAACCAAGTTTTTAAAAACTATTTCTTATTTTAGTTTTTAAAAGTACGATAACATAACAAAGAAATTCATATGCATACGTGGAAGTATGTTTATAAACTTCATTTTCAAAAATCAGAAATTTAAAACCAAATGGTTATCAACCAGGATTTAAACAGAGAGGCTTTGCACGAATGTTGCTTACCACCAATAACGTTGAGATCCCCTAGTCCTACTTCAGTGCCATTCAGAATCCCAAAGCAAACATTCCCATATTTCTGAAGGACAACATGTTAGGAACTTAATTTGTAACCCAAAAACCTAAATAATCCAAGGTTGTGTTGAATACTCACAGTTATGATGAGATAAGTTTCTGGAGGCAGTAGAATTTGAGAATTCTTAGAATTTGTAAAGCTCAATGCCAAGGGCTTGAAGTAGTTCTTTACATCAAGCAACGACTCGAAAGGGTGCGTGCCTCTCCAGCATATCGGAAGAGATTCGTCCTCCGGTGCATCTTTCAGTGGCTTTCCTCTCAAATCCTCCCTCACCTGAGGTAACAGATCTCGTATTACAATTTCACAAGTAAATGTTGCTAAAGGAAACAGTTCCTCGTCTCTACTTTACCATAGCAAGAATGCGGTCATAAACTTGAGAGCTGAAGTACGTGTAAGAGCTCCCACTGTCAAAAACTACCGTAAGATCCTCGATACCCACAGCTTTTCCACCAAAATAGACTTCTGCAGGTCCGGAAGAGTAGTAATTTCTGAGATGAGATTAGTTATCGTACAATCTTCAGTCACATGGGTTCAAGAAAGATAACATGGTAATAGAGGGCTACTCACCCTATGGATTCATAGGACATACTTGTCCATGCTACTCCTGAAGAAGGAATGAGTTCATCTCCAAAAAATATAAATCCACCCTGTTCACTTAGACAATGACCTAGGACGTTTCGCACTACGCCCATTTTACTAAGTTGCGAGATAATGCTAACTTCGCCATTGCCAAGGCCAAGAACTCCAGATGTAGGAGGAGGTGAGTGTGGAAGAGAATATTTATGATCATATCCACATCTGCAGATAGAATGATAATAAGATATGTCAAATTAATAAGATGGAAACTAAATCAGTTTTACTATATGGCTCACATATGTCCTCGGGTAAAGCCACGTCAAAAAACTATCTACTTATGAAGCAAAATGGACCTCTGGGAATTACAAGGATGATAATAGGATATCATGATATCTGTATCCATACAACTCACCCAAATGTTATACGAGGAGCAGCAAGAGAACCATTGGTGAGTTTCAAGGGGACCTGGTCATTGACCAACACACCCAGCGACGATCCATAGTCAGCATACTCGATTTCGTACTCACACTGTTCATCTGCGGACTCACATTGGTGGTTGGTTGTGGGGCGGAGCGATGCACACAGTGGTTCAAAACAATTCAAAGCATTATTGTCGGGTTTATATAACTGCTCCCGAGGCTGCAGATGCATGTAAAATTGATAAGAACAGTAGAGATAAGAGAATAAACATCAAGTTGGCTATTGTTATAATCTGACCCGCTAACCTTTGTGCAACCTGTACAAGGGGCATCACATTGAACCCAGGTGAGGTCACTTCCAGAGTCAATATCAAATTCGAAAGCCTCAGTTCCTTTGCCAATGTTGATAGAGACAGAGTAATACCTACAGATATAGAAAAATATTAACAGTAAATTCATGCTTAAGGTAAGCTTTCTATGAATATAATATATGCGATGACTAAGGGGAAGAGCAGTCGAATAAATGATAAATAAACAAATAAATAGACAGAGAATCAGAGAATTCATGAACAAACTGAATTCATAACATTTTGAAACAGCTGAGAAGAAAAGCACACCGTTAGAAAACTTTCTTGTAGCGAAATTTTCAAATTTCAAAATGGATGGGAAATGAATGCGAAACATTATATTATCTGTTGAATAATCAATCCGATAATTAAATAAGATAGGATAAAAAACATTAAGAAATACTATAATCGTTGAATGAACATAGACTAAAGAGACATGGTAGAAACAAAACGAGTTGATTTCTGGACCTCACATAACTTCAATTGAATATAACGAGAGAAAATGAGCAAGGAAAACTCAAGGATCGGGGACTGGGCCGACAAACAACAGATTCGGGAATCGAATTAAAGAAGAAAAATCAGAGGCAAGTAGAACAAATTTCAAGATCGACGGAAAATCGACGCCGATAATAATACACGAAACAATATTACCAAAAAGAGAAAAAAAATCAATGATCTTACTCCAACTCCGAGTGTATGCCTACTAGGGAAGCTACAATAAGCACAATAAAGCGGGAAAAATACACAAAAAAATAAATTAAGCCATTGAGAAAGCTTTTCAGGTCAATCCAGAATCCATAGTTGGCGACGATCAAATACATACCCAAGAGGATACACGTTTCCTTTGAGGGGAAACACGGCCGAGGAGAGGAGTCGATCAGATTTTCTCTTGCCGAGAGAAAGAATGTTGGTTGAGAAGCAGACAGCAAAAGTTGAAGATAGACCTAGAAGAAACAAGATTAAAGTAGTGGTTCTTGGCATTTTTCTACTTTTTTCCTCTTCGAATCCAAAGATTCCAGACCAGAAATGGAGCTCAAAAAGTTTGTCAAATCGCTCTATAGGATCTATCGTCCACCTTTTTTCGTTTTACCTCACTTTTTACTTCTCCCGAAGATAGAGACAGTCTTTTAATTCTTTTTTTTTTTTCCTTTTTTCTTTCCTAAAAAACCTGTCAATAAAATTAAACTTTAATTTATTTATTTATTACAAAATACCTATTATTTGGTATTTGAAGTTTGAACACTCTTGACTCACCGACACATTTGAAAATTAAAGCAAAACTCCAAAGTGCTTCAAAATTCGCCCACTTCAGGCCGACCACTATATAAATAAAGAGATTCCATATACCAGTCATGAGCGATAGTGAAATCTAGAATACCACGAGACATGATTGAAAAGCTTAGTTTGAAACGTTTAGGAGAAGAGTAGAACCAAGGGGTTGTGCGCCGTCCTCCCATCAATCTAATAATAGTGGACATTAATGCCAACAAACTTCCCCGTCCACATCTAGAAGAAAAAGAATCAAGATACAGTGAAAAGTTCACAGAATAAAAAATAATTTAAACCTAATTATATTTTTATTTTTATCCTTAAGATATTTGATGTCTTTAAAAATGCTTTCCAAATCAAATGTTATCAGCAAACATGTCTTTTGTTTTCATACTTAATTAAAATGACCGTGAACTGAACATTCAGTTTTTAATTTTATTTATTTATGAACAATCGAATTTTATAAATAAACCTCTTAATTGAAAGTCAATTAGATAAAAATACTAAACCATCAAAACGTGAAAAAAAAAAATCTAAAATTTCCTTGGAAATAGAATTTGTTTTGTTAATAATTAATATGATTTGGTAACTTGGAGCGGTCAATGTATTAAATTTCTTGCTGGACAAGTTTCCAACTTTCGTCAAAAATTAAGATGGGAGAGAATGAGATATTTACATCAAACAAAATGAATATATATTTTTAAATATATTATAAAATTAAAAATTTTACAAAAATAGCATAATCCAACTAATACGTAAACTGAAATGTGTAATTAATATAAAAATATATTAAAAAAATTATTTATTTATTTTTTAAGTATAATATTGGGATGTAGATTGAAGTTCTTAATCATTTGGTTGCACGTATTAAGAAAAATTAGATTTTTACTATATTTGACAAAAGTGAAACACTGATACCGATTCTTTTTAAAATACGTGTTAAATTTATGATATATAGTACAATTCTTGAATATAATAGCACAAATTCGTAATTTTAATTTGCAAAAAAATTGAAAAACAATAATGATATTATTTTTGTAATTCTAAAAAGTGTTTTTTAATATTTCACCAAAAAATGGGTGGATTTATTATCAAAATGTGTGTGTAAGTAGAGGTACAAAGTGCTTAGCAGAGGTCAAAATATGTTAAATTTGATAGAGAATAATAATATTTTTATAGTACGCAACATAAAAATTGTTTTGGAAAAAAGAATCATGAAAGAAGAGAAAATAGGTTGAAAAAATTACGTAGTGAGAATTTATTTGCGAACATATTAATGTCTTCATTGGTTAGGTTTTAATACTCATTTCGAATTCATTTAAAAGTTATTTGTTAGAAAGTAAAATAAAAGAAAAAGAAAATAAAAGCTAAGATATATTTGATATTATAATATTTGGAAATACGGTTAAGGCCATGTCAGAGATATTTAACGAAGTAATGCATTGAAATGATTGGATTGCCGCGCCTCTACTGATCACCGTTGGAAGGAGCGTGCAAAATCGGATTTGAAACACGATTTGTTCTTCTATAAAATACCTATATTTCCCCCGATTACATTCTCAGCCGCAGCGCCCACCGCCGGAAGTAAAGGTAAACCCTAATATTTGCGTTTCTGCTTCTGTGCCTACGGAGTTCTCAACCACTCTGTTATTTCTCCATGTAAAGTAGTTCGGTTTTCTGTTTCTGTAAACCCTTTTGTCGTTTGCAGACAATTTCGACGTCGTTTTGATGATCGTCGGAACGGTGGCCGCCGTCGACAACGGGCTGTCGCGACCGGCGGTGATTCTCATTCTGGAGAGCTTGGTTAATTCCTTCGCCTTCTCCGATAACGATTCCGTCATGAGGGGAGTGACTAAGGTATTATACTGKTACTCAACTACCGTAATAATTGCCGTGAATTTCCCCTTCCAAATTTCTCAAAAATAAAAAAATAAATAGCTGTTTTGTATCGAACTTTCTCTCGGTGTCAAGAGAGTTTCAGTAATTTGAAATTTGTTCAGTGTTCTGTTTCTGTTTGCCGATTCCTTATTTCCCATGTGAATGACTATTTGGTAGCTTTTTGCATCGCTATTTAATTGAACATGTTGGATGGTTTGATTTCTTTTTTTTGGGCGATTTGATTTTTTATTTGAAATTTTGTTCTACGGGATTTGTGGAGATGTCAAGCCTTGAAAGCGTTTTAGTTTCTGACCAGTGGCCAAAATCATCAGCAGCTAGCTAGGGTTACATTTACACTGTAGGTCTGATTAGATGAAATAATTGTTCTTATTAAACCCTTACTCATAATTAAACTATGGACTAATTTTTTTGTAGGGAAATGACCATCTATCATGCAAATTGTCTTGTTCTCATAAAGAAAAAAACTTTATGATTGCAATCTCTTACATGAAGTCCATTTTGTAGGTACTGGGGGGTGATTATAAAATGTTTTAATTTTATATTTTTCGGTTGAGTCTTATATTTTTTGTTTTGTTTTATTATTAGTTTTGAATCCATTAGGGTTCCTTTATTTTTACAATTTGGAATGGAATGGGAAATCAACGAACTAAATTCTCCAAACATATATTAATTACTCTCTTTTATTTTATCTGAGCTAATTAAGATAAAAATTTATCTTATTTTTTAATATTGCGCATTGATGAGGATCATCTAAAATAAATGAATCTAATTATTCTTGATTTGGGATCTTTGTCATTGCAGTACTCTCCATCCAATTTTGGTGTGAAGATAGTTTATATGAAGTTGTTGTTCAGTGGCCCAAAACCAGATCTGGTAAGTTGCTTTTCCAGCGGCATAACCGACTAGCTTTGGTAATTTCTCAAACTCCTTTTTTTATTATTATATTTTTTTTTGAAATAATCTATAACTTTCCTAAGGCGCATGCATGAACATTTTACCTAATTTATGCTAAGAAATTTACGGCATGTGGAATGCAAACATCACATGGTTTAATTAGATGGAATGATATATATTACCCAATTAAATGTTATTTATTTTTATTATTTGTTTTTCATCTCTCTAAACCTTTGCCTCTCTATCTTTCAAACTTCTTTTTCGCTCCAAATTTTGTTTTTATTCTTTTAACTTCCCTCTCTAAAATTTTTATACATCTGATCTTTTTATTTTTAAAAAACAATTTCTCACTTTTCAACTACTTTCATATCTCTTAAAAATTTTCTCTTTCTATCTTTTTTTTTCCTTAAATTTTTTGGTCCAACTTATTTAAACTTTTTTTTTTTAATCTTGAAGTTTTTTTTCTCTCTCTGTAGCTTTTTCACTTTTAAAATTTTGTTCTTGTCCTCTCTCAAATTTTTCTCAACCTTCTTTTTTTTTAAATGTTTTTAAAATTACTTGTGGTTAACAATAAAAATTTTAAAATTCATATTTTTTTCTATACTTTTGTCTTTAATTTTTTAACACACATTTAAAAGTCAATTTTAAACGTTTTTCTCTTAAAAATTTTTCTCTCGAAGTTTTTTCTTCTCTCTTACTTTTCAAAATTGATCATATACTTTTTTTTCCAAATGCTGTTTTTTTTTTTAATATCTATATCTCTCAATTTCTAACTTTTTTCTCTCCAGACATTTTTGACCAAATTCTCTTTTAACTTATTTTTCTTTGTAAAAATTGATTTCTAATTTGTTTTTTTTTAGACTTTCTCTCTCCAAAATTTGGTATATCTTTCCAAAAAAACATTTTTAAAATTTCATTATTCTTTTTTATCCAAAATTTATTTTTTAAATTTATTTCTCACTTTCAAACTATTTTCTGCAATTATGAAAATTCTCTTTCCAACATTTTTTTTTTCTCTTGGAATTTTTTCCTCTCTCTGACTATTAAAAATCGTTTTTTAAAAGTAAGAGTAGTTTTTAGTCCAAAGTTTTTTTTTCTTTTTCATTTTAAAAACTTTTTCCTCAAAATCTGTCTATCATTTCTAATTTTTTTTCATCTCACAACTGTCTTTCTCTCTTTTAAATTAAAATTTTTGTGTTGACTTTCAGATTTTGTTTTTTTGAACTCGCATATTGAAAAGTTATTTTTAGAAAAAATTAAATGACATTTAATTTTATTTTTATAGGGGTAAAATAATTCATTCATCCACAATCAATTATTCATTTCACCCAATTATTCATACTCTAAAATTTTTAATGTTTTTTAGCTAAAGGTTTTCATCATCTCTTTCCTAATTTTTCTTGAAACAATTTATTTATTGATTTCAAACTTTTTTCTCTCTAAAAAGTTTATCAAAATTAATTCTAACTTGTTTTTTTCTTGTAAACTTTTTATGTTCGAAATTTTCCTCTTTCTAATTTTTTTGTCCCTTTAACTTTTTTTTTTTT